GAATTCCTTTGAAAAGAGAAAAACGATAAGCGGTGAGCGCAACGCCCGCGCAGCAGAGCAGGCCAGCAGCAGCAAGAGATGAATGTTCGCAAGGTTACGCTCGCGCTGCTATCCGGCCTTGCCGGCGCCCAAAACGCGTGCGGCACCGCCGGCGTGAACTGCGGTGAGGCGGAGGCTCTGCAGACTGGAATCGCTCAGCAGTGGAGCGGCTTTGGCACGCCGGTGAAGCTCGGCACTTGGAGCCGCCCCCAAAGGTGCCCTCCTGAGACCGACTTTGGGCGTCTGGAGGACCTGCTGCCGCAAAAGCACTTTCGCGGCCCGCTGAGCGGGCCCGCGAGCTACTTCAAGCGGGTGCCGCCGCACTACCTCGGCCACCACGCCAACTTTAGCAAGTGCGAACGGTCTGTGTATATCGACGTGGGCGCGCGCGAATTTGACTCCAAGGAGGGGATGCTCTCGACCTTTGCGGTCTACCCGCAGCTCCTCGGCTTTGACGAGTTCTACGCCTTTGAGGCCGCGTCTGGCTTCTACAAGCTGCCGCCGCAGCCGGACTTAGTGCGGCGGCTTCAGCGGCAAGGCATGTCTGCAGCGAGGGCGGCGAGCTTTGCTCGGCGCCACTTCTTCCTCCAGGCCTTCATCGGCGCCCGCTCCAACCCGTCGACCACCCCGCCCACTCTCGGCTTCTCGGACCTGCTCAAGACCATGCTCGGCCTGCAGCCGGCGGACGCGGTGGTGGTGAAGATGGACGTCGAGGGCTACGAGTACGACATCGTGCGGACGCTGCTGGCGGACGGCACTCACGCGCTCATCGACGAGATCCTGCTCGAGGTGCACTACGGCCACCCGGCGATGATGCGGCGCTTCAACTGGTGCCGCATGCCGAAGCCGGGCTGGCAGTTTTGGTGCTCGTACTCGCTGCAGAACGCCACGGCGATGTACCGCGCCCTGCGCGACGCGGGCGTGTACGCGCACCACTGGCCGTGAACCGCGTTTCGGCGCGATAAGCGATCTACGTTTCTTTCCTTACCGACTTGCGCCAGTGCCGTGCCCAGTGTTGTGCGAGGGAGAAAAATTCTTGTTGCAACTCCGTCAAAGGTCAAACTAACCGTTAGAGTCACCTTGGAATTCTAGTTTCTAGCTGCGCCCTGCCCTGGGGGCGCTAGTTTGCTACTGAGCGAGACCGATGGCGCAATAAAAAAATGTAAAAAATGAGATTAAATGTCTCGGCCAAGTGTGCTCCAATCACCAATGTGGCCGTGTGTGAGGGCCCCGGCGGATGTAAGAGATGCCGATGCCTCAAGAGGAGCGCCCCAGCGGCCAGCGCAACACAAAGCTCCAGAGTGTCACTGTTTATTCATTCGAGACTCTCACCCAGCACCCAGCACCGTGTGGGCCTGGGTGTCAAGACCGAGCAACGAGCGGGAATGGGTGGGATGGGTGGCTTGATGGGTGCGTGGCTAGTCACCGTTTGCTCATTCGTGAATCGAGACCCCCGCCGGGACAGTGCGGGCCAAGAGGACAAGATCGACGAGAGGGGGGGGGGGCAGAGCGGGAGAGGTCTGTGGATCTGCATTGCAC